GCGTCTACCTCGTTCTGCCTGATGCAATCCTGGATCCAGACGGGCTTGACGATGTTGTTTGTTGCGCGTTTCTCCAGCGAGGCCACTTTGATTAGTCGCTTGTCTGCGACAATGATGAGGTTCTTGTCCATGGAGTCGCGCTGTACGATTTTGCCGCCGTTGGCTTTGACTAGGGCTTCGAGATCGGCTTTGGACTTCTTTGATGGGGTGATTTGCTCGGTCATTATGAAGAAGGTTAGGCCTTCGAAGATCTTGGATGCTGGGCCTGCGTACGGTGTGGTGATGGCGTCGCTGCCGACCACCGTCAACGGCTTCTTCGTTGTCCTGACTTTCTTCCTTCGGGATTGTTCGATCTTGAACTCTTTTTCCTTCTCATTGACCTCTGTCTCCGCTCGGCTCTTTACTTCCAGCCACTCTTGTGTTGAAAGCGCCTGATCCCATCGCTTATCTTTCTTGAGTTTTTGGAAGCGGGGAAAGCGAAGCGTGTATCCCATGCGGAATTTGTCACTATTCTCGACACTTGCTGCTTTGCACCCCAGGACGACGGAATCGCAGGGTTGGATATATTCATCTGGCCGCTCGTGTTGCCGATTCCAGTCGTCACCGCCCAGCTCGATGAACGGAGGCGGTTGTCGACGATCCCATTTATGCCACTTACCTTCCGTGCGACTCCTTATTTCAGCGTATTCTTCCTTAGTGAATCCACCACCGACCTTGAAAAAGGATTTACACAGTGGATTTTTCGCCACTATCGTGTCCTTCTCCAGCAATGCACAGAGGAAGGATGAGTGGGCGCCACCGCGACGCCCAGTGCCAAAGTATCCGCCGACAACAATGCAGTCGAGCGACTCGCCGTACTCTGACATGTATTCTGGCTTCACTTTCATCCAATCGTTGTTCCGTTGATTGAGACAGTACATGGAGCGCGGATTCTTTAGCACCAGACCCTCGGATGACTCTGCAACGACCTTCCGTAACTCCGGTTCAATCTCGGTATGCGAGCGTGCCTCGATGTAAGGATGGATCTCTAGACGACGCTTTTTGCCCTTGATAGCACTCTCAAGGGCGCGACGTCGATCGCGTAGCGTGTACTGTGTGAGTGATTTGTCGTTCAGATAGACGCAATCAAACACCCTAAACAATGGCCGCTGACCAGTATCCTTGTCGGTTTTATTCTCTTTCTCAGATATAGCTGCCGTCTTGAGTGTACCGAAGTCCACGATGTGGTCCCTGTCCATATCCCAGGTAATCATCTCCCCATCGAGGATAATGTTCCGTACGTTCTTTCCGAAGGCGTCTTCGATGAAACGTGTAAGTGCACCGGCCTCGTCGCCCTCGAAGTGTCTGCCGTAGAGGTATGCGTAGTCTTTGGCTTTACGTGACCAGAATCCAAAAGTCCTTCCGCCAGGTGCGTCGGGATCTTCAATCATATGGAGCTGCATGCGCTCCCCGTCGAGCTTCTCTTCAATCCAAAACGTGTCATCGTCTGCATTTGCTTGGAAACGGTTCACCAGTTTCTCAAAGTTACCTACTTTGTCCTGAAACTGAGCTAGCTGTGGCTGGAAGCATTGCATCAAGCTCAGCTCAGTGCTCTCGCCCTCCAAACGAATCTCCGGGTCGAAGAGCTCCCAGCACACTCGCCGCAGATTTGACGAGATATTGAACAGTGTTTCCGCGTCCGGATGCCAGATGTCGAGGAGTGTCTTCTCAGTAGCGCCGATCTTCATCTGACGAAGGATCATACGGATGAGCCAAGTCATCTCTTCCGCATTCATCCTTCGGTAGAACCGCTTGAAGATCTTGACTTGCTCCTCTTCGGCGCCAACCTGCGACAGCTTGTCCAGAGCATTGTTGACTTCGGCGATGCTCATGTCGCTGTACTCGGTCTTCATCTGCCGCATTGACAAGACATCGTAACATCGTCCAGGAAAGTCGCCCGCAGATGCATTCGAAGCTGAGCTGAGCTGGCTAGGTAGCTTCCATTCCGTTATGTGGTCGGCATCAATAGATTTGGGCTTCATGCTGGTGCACTTGATCAAAATCTTGGCAATTGCTTTCTCTTTCAGACCGTACATGGCTCGATCTCTGTCTTTTTCGGGAATCATGAGACGCATTGCGGGGTAGAAGTCGTTACCAACTTCCTTTCGCCAATTTGCAATATATCTTTCGATGATGTTGCGTTTCGCTTCATGGGGTGACAGGTTGGAGTGTCCGTGAGGCCCGACTCTTCGACGAGCTCCCACAGGCTGCTTCCTCTTCTGTGTTTCCATGAGTGGGTTGAAAAGGTCCGTGAACAGGGTATGGAAGCGGGGCGTCTTGTGGAGGTTCAGCGGCCGGGTAGGGTACTTGTCGTCGAGCTCATCGTCATGACCATACATGAGCGTGTTCTCCCTAACCGCCTCCTCATCCGGCATTGGTATATCTTCTGCCATTTTGGGTGCATTGGAGGAGTGCGTCGACGGGTGTAAGGTTTGTTTGTATATGAAGGCAGGGTCGTGGTGGTTGCCTGGAAGCCGCATTACGCGTGATCACGTGGCTGTCAGGCTGCAACGAGCTAGCGCATCTCCCAAGGCGTCACCCATGCCAGTGGGTACCTACGCCGTGATTCACAAGGCTGACGATACTAATCTTGGAAACTGGGGGAATTGCGACTCCACAACACTCGTTTTCCCTTTAGTCCTTCGTTTCTTTGCTTTCATGTCGCGCCAAAACACCTTTTCCAACCGCACTACTGTCCCCTAATTGTCCGTATACGTCATTATTACTCACCATCCAATGGACCGTAAATGAGCGCTGCACGTAAGCAGGGCTGGGTCCCGCAGTCGACCGGCGACACCCAACACAATGTACGGGATGCTGCGCTACAAGGTGCCGCTCGAGCCTTCTCCAAACCTCCCGCGAAACCGAAGCCTTTAGTGAACACGTATACTGGGGGAGACAATGGGGCTTTGCTCGCTGCAACCAAAGTCGGCACAGGCAATCCGGCATCCTTGCGGAGGGACCATACCGGTGGTTCCGTAGGCGTCAGTAAGCCGAACCTATCCCATTCGAACAGCACGGCATCGCTGAGCGTGCCTGACGATCACCCCGACCGCGTCTCGTCGCCCTCGAATATCGCGGCACGGCTTGCGGCAGCTCGACACAGCCCTCTGAGGCCTATACCCCAGGCCAAGGCCGTTGTTCCGCCCGCCATGAGCGAACAGCAGCCAAACGAGCGGGATGCACTGCCTCCCTCGGGCAGCGTAGGGAATGTGCTTGCGAGACTCGAGTCTCAGAAGCCCACACAACAGTCGCGGAAGAGGAGAGACAGCCTAGAGTCACCTGCAGCTGCGCGCAATGCCCGACGACCAGAGCCACAACACAAGGCCACCGACGAGACGCCCATACCGCCAACGAATTCGCTCGTGAAGATGTTTGAGCAGGCGCGACCCAGCACACCCACGAAGCAGCCTTCCGCACCGATACGCGTTGCGCAGAATTCACCACCCCCTGTGAAATCGCCCAAGCCACAACGTGCGTTCAAACTGCCTCCCGAGCCGAAAGATGATGCGCCGCTGCAGAGAGTCAGAACGCAGACACCGCCGCCCGTCAAGCCGAAACCGAAGCACAAGATCCAGCTGCCCCCACAATATGCTGATGGCAGCAGCGATCAGGCATACTTCAATACACCCAAGAAAGACCCTCTGAAGTCTCCCCCAATCGAACAGAAGCCGGTGCAGTTGGCGGCAATCAATACATCCACGTCCCCACCTTCAAAGCCGCAGCGGAGAGGTTCGCGGCAAACACGGCCCAAGTCGGAGGACACAACGCAGTCATCGTCCTTACACCGCCGCAGAGTGTCTGCGTCTGTAGAAAGCTATCAGTCACCGTCGACTCCCACATCTTTCAAGTCAGCCAAAGAAGACCAGGAGGAAGACGAGAAGCCTAGACCTGCTCTGCCTCCACCGCGACGATCGACCGCGCGGAAGACTGAACCTGCGCGAGCTGCGAACAAACTCCAGCCTTCAGCCCCGATACAGATCAAGCCTCGCACCCAGAGCCAGAACCCAGCCTCGATGGCTCCATTACAGAAGCTTTCGCCTCCGCGTCGACCAATGTCAGCTAACAGAACTGGGTCGCCTTCAGTGTACCATAACAACTACCAGCGAGAATCTGTCAAACAGATCACGCAGCACATGACTGGCGAGTCTCTGTCGAGCGCCATAATGGGCGCCGCCCTAGCCTCCCATTCTCGCAACGTCTCGCCGGCCCCTCGACCTATGTCAGTCGAGCCTCTTTTCCCGCCGCGCAAACAGCATCATCACCATTCGCCCTTCCACCGATCGCCCTCGCCGCCCAAACAATCCCCTCCGAAGAGCGCCGGCAAGCTGCGAACTACAATGCGCAAAGAACCGTCATCCTCCGATGAGGAAGACAACAAGGTCGACAAATACAAGAAGAAGGGCACACGCATTATGGGCATCAAGGGGCGGAAACACCCGAATAAGCACCATGAGGGGACACGAAAGCGATGGCGCGACCAGATAACCGAACGGGAGCGGAAACGTTATGAAGGTGTATGGGCTGCCAACAAGGGTCGTCACATACCCTCACCGGATAACGCACCACCCGACGATGACCCATCAGCCGATGTGCTGAATCTCCTCGTCAAAGAGATCTGGACGAGAAGCCGACTACCCACACACGTATTGGAGGAAGTTTGGGACCTCGTAGACAATAGAGGGGTGGGAAGGTTGAGCAGATACGAGTTCGTCGTGGGTTTATGGTTGATAGACCAGAGACTCAAAGGACGCAAGTTGCCCGTCAAAGTTAGCGACAGTGTATGGCAGAGCGCCAGGGGCGTAGGGATTAAAGTCAAGATCAAGCATTGACAATAGAGTAAACGGAGACGAGATTTAGAGAAGCATTGGCATGGCGTTGGACTTGATTGTCACTGTAGATCCTAGAGATACCCCTAATCGTAGTACAGTTTGTTTCTTTTGTTGATATACACACTATCATCATCTCTGGTCTTGTCCCTGTACTGCAGTTTTGTCTCCCATGCTCAGTAGCCCGGCGCTCCGAACGAAATTCGCAGTACTCCAAAACCCGCCGCTGAAGTCGAGATCGTACCAGTAGTTCACCGCGCAACAGATTCCTTCTTCGTTGCAGCTCTGGCTCACTTTATGGTACCAAAGTGCGGGTAGGTATAGCATGTCGCCTTCTTCCAGCGTTACTCGGAGTGGCTGCGAGTACTGGGAATAAGGCGTGGTGTTGGCAGCAGGCTGGTCCGGATCCCATGTCGCGAAAGGTACATATTCCTCCGGCTCATCGACCTTGATGACCAGATCACCCTTCTCTAGCGCACTAGAAGACGCGCTATCCTCCCGTTTCGGAGTGTAAGTCGCAGCCAGCACGCTCTTCTCATTAACACAACCCGCTTCTACAGGCGGCAAGAGGACAAAATGCTTCCGCCCCAGTATCTGCACGTAGATGTTCTCGTAGTTGTCCTTGTGTAGAGCAGTCGTGGAATAAGAGTTTCCGAGCCAGAAATTGATAGCGTCGGGTTCTTGCTCAAGTGCTATGCGTGCGAACGGTATGCTCTTGGGTACGTCGGCGAAGAGCGTAGAGTATTCGTTACGTAGATTATCGTTTTGGGTTTGCGCGTAGCGTGTTGGACCGCTGTAGTCGTTTTCTTGCTCTTGGCGTTGGATCTTGTTGAGGACGTCTTCAAAGGGCTCTTCGGTCTCATACGGTTTGACGAATATCGCGCCATCTGACGGGAGGGAGACGACTGAGTCGGCGTTTCCGTGCGGGGTGATTGCTACGTTGACGTTCTGGCCTTGCATCACGGACTTTAGGTACGAGGCATTCCATGTTTTTCTAGCTTTGAAGTCTTTGGCTCCGTTGCGGACGATGAAGGGGCGGTTGCGGGCGACGTGGCGCATGAATTGTAGGGGTGAGGGTTCAGTGGTGAGGATGTCGATTGTTGAGGGGTTGAGATCGTGGTAGGATGTTATCAGGTCTAATTGAAATTAGTATTAGTGGCGATGCAAGATCGTAAGATACATCGGAATGCTTCATGTTCAGTACGACGTCTGGGGCATATGATGTGAGAATGAGAAATCGCCAGAGGAACTAGCCGCGCGATTTGCATTGTGCTTTTAATCACTCAGACAGTAGAATGATATGGGGTTGATAGTATGAAGAGGAAAAGGAAGCACCTCTTACAGCATCTTGCAACGTCCCTTCCGCATCGAGACCAGTTGGTGCAGGCCTTCACACACGATCAGTGAGAGGGAGCACAATGATCTCATCCATGACACACTCACCGCAAAGCAGCCTGCTCTGGACTTTTTAGTCCCTTCACTTCATCTCCAGTGCGACCCATGTTTGCGCGTTCACATGAAGTCGCGCAAAGTTCGTGAAGTGGGATGCGTTATCGGGGTTAAGGTCTTACTAGCAACGGACCTTGCTCTTTTGGGACTAGCTTTTGTGTTGTACTCAGATCTTGGTGTTTTGCACAAAGTGCGCGCTTTTAGAGTATAATCTAAGTGCAGTAAAGTTATGTGATAAAGAATAGGATAATATATTCGCATTACAGTTGACATTGTGGCCGAATTGAGGGACTGAAAAACTTAGAGAAGAGGTACTTAGTTCCCAATCGCCTGTGGATTCCAAAATACCTTATTTGGATCTACCACTTTCTTAATCGCACTTAGCTTTCCATATGTCGCATCACCATAGTACAATCGATGCGCCTCCGCTGGTGTCAACTCTGGATCTAGATAATTCGGGTATGCCAAAAAGTCGCCATCGGGCTGTGCGTCTGTCAAAGCGGTATTGAGTCCTTGCACGAACGCTTTGATGCCAGACTCAAAAGGCGGAAGCATATTGGCCGAGGAACCAATATTCTATCAATAACGAGGTTAGCCAGCTGTTTAGAGAATACTGCCCGATAAGTGTTGTCTGAAGGGGAGAGGAGAGGAGTTTACCTGAAAAACCCAAAGCGAATCGCGATGCGAATACGCCGCACTATCAGGCGATGGAACATTGATCTGGCTATCCCTCCCGCCATATAGCGAGATATAAGTCTCCCATGGAGACTCTGCGCTTAATCCCTTACTAATGACATACCCAGCAAAGCTCTCCAGTGCGCGCCGTGTAAGTGGCTTTGCCTCTCTCGTAACAATGGACTTGGTGTAGAAGGTCTGGTGGTTGTCGTAGCCAGTCAAAGGCTCAACAAGAGGTTCACCTTCTGCGATATCCTGCAGCGCATCGAGCCAATTTCTGGTCGCGATCGTTGTGTTGTCGGCCTTGGGCAAACCCTCAAGCATGGCGCGAAGTACGGCGCTGGAGAAGTGTGTGCGGTCGCCAAAGTACCAGCCTCGGACTTCGAAGGTGCCGAATATGTTCATGTAGACCTCAAGTGTGATGTTACGGTCCATGAGAGGAGAAGATTGGGCAAACTTCTGCAACTGAAGAAGGACGTCGGCGACGGAAGATGGAGACTTCAGCGCGGAAGTGAAGTTCACGGAGTAGCTGACGATCTGTGCCGGAGCGGGCTGGGTCTGCAGGTAGAAGGTAGTCACGACACCGATGCTATCTGCAGCTCCACGCAGCGCGTAGTAGAGTTCGGGATGGGTAGTGCGTGTGACGTGAAGTTGAGTTCCATCGGCCAGTACGACGTCCATTGCCACGATCGTGTCGAGTGCAAGCCCTAAACAACATCACGGTCAGCTAGAGTCGTTACATATATTTGCAAAACAGCGGTACTTACCCCAGCGACGAGAAGAGTATCCGAAGCCTCCATGCGTATAGTGCCCTCCTATACCAACGCCCGGGTATGTACCGTGAGGCAGTGCGGCCTGACCTTGTTTATATACACCCAGTCCGAGGTTTCCGAGACGCACGCCGCCTCCCGCTCGAACGACACCAGTACCTTGTGATCTGTTAGTAAAGATCATGAAGAAACGAGTAAGCTACCTGCCTTTGTCCAGAGATACCTCATTAAACTTCTGTAGATCGATCGTCAAGCTACCATTCTTGCCGCCGAGAGAGTAGCTCCCGTACGAATGTCCTCCAGACCGGGGCTGAACTTTGATGCCAGCTGCAGCTGCGCATGTTATTGAATCGGAAACTTGCTGCGGAGTTTCTGGTATTGTCACGGCCACTGGGGTGTACTGGAGACGGAGGTTGAATGCGGTGGTGAGAGAAGTCCAATCTGAAGAAGAATTGAGAGTAGTAGGGACGGCTTTTGTGTGAAGGCAGTCCTGTAAGGCTTGGTGTTGTCGATTGACCAGATGGTCTCGCGGATCAACGAAATCAGCGATGGCCTTCGATACGAACAGAAATAGTAGAGATGTTGAAAGCATGTTTTCAGTCAGTTGCTCTTTTGCGACTATACCTCCGGGTTCCTCGTACTACATCTTATACAAGCACTCCGCCAGCACTACATGCCAAGTCCACCGAGCTCCGAAACATAATGCTATACCAATACTATTCAGTCCTCATACTTGCGAAGCAACCGAGCAAGCAATTGCCCGTTCCAATCTCGTAACAATTTCCGAATGAAGCTATTTGCTAGGTTTGGCCAAGTGATGAACTTCTAGTGAGAGCTGGCTAGAGCAACACGTAAGACGATTGGTGAAATGCAGTGGCTTTGCCTGGGGCATTGCGACGCAAAATCCCTGTTATGACGCGGAATCGGTACTGACGATGAAGGCATGTCGGCTAACACGATGCCAAGTCCTCCGACGGGAACTTCCGAAAACCTGATAGCGCTTTCCCATGCAAGAAGTCCACCACAAGTCGGCATCTTTGACCTCGATGATGGTCTAACAACAACAACACCGCGCCAGCATTGTGGACCGCCGCGGGCACGCCATCACAGACAAAAGATGCTAGAGCGATAGTAAAGCTCAGGATCCGATTGTAATGCCGCCACCATGGAGCACCCTCAACCGCTCCGGCTTTGTCCAAACCCTAGGCCGCAAGTACTTGCAACACTATTCTCCGAACCGATTTGCTAATACACCAACAGGTAGCGCGCTCACCGTCGCAAAAGGCTTTGTCTTCCTCCACGTATGCTCTTCCTACATTGGCGGCATATCCTCCACCAGCGGCATCTCTATGGTACCTACGATCCCCCATCACTATAAGGGCCACCCATGGATACTATACTCCTCGCTTCATCGTCGCGGTCGCAACCTTCGTGTTGGTGACATCATAACCTATAATCATCCCATATTCCCCAAGCAAAGTGGGTGCAAGCGCATCATTGGGATGCCGGGCGACTTTGTCAGTATTGTCACGCCGGGGCGCGGGGAAGATGATGTAAACGCGGTGGATCATGAGGGGAAATGGGCGAGCGTAAGGGAAGAGGTCATAAGAGTGCCGGAAGGACATTGTTGGGTACAAGGCGATAATCTGGAATGGAGTAGGGATAGTAGACTATTTGGACCGCTGCCGTTGGCGTTGGTCAAGGCGAAGGTATTGGCTGTTGTGCGGCCGTACGGGGAGGCAAAGTGGATTAAAAACGAACGTGATGTTGTGGATGTGAGGGAGGGGGAAAGAGAGTGGGTGTTGAAGTAGAAGGAAGTATCACGGGAGGAACAACACAATACTGGGGGGTAGTATACAAGGGAAAGAGTTATTCGGTCGAGGCAAGTTATATACCCAAGGATCCATCTAAAGAGCAAAAGAAAACCGACAACGCATCAATACGTCGAACAAGCTACATCATCAATTGTTGTCATTGGCTTGCCTTCCAGGCCAAAACAAGTTTCGAATCTCATCATCCTGTTCATTCATCATGTCCACAGTGGCCAGCTCAGCAGCAGCTTGAGCGCGAACGCGCATGCGCGCCAAGTTCGACATGCGTGTAAAAGTGGCTTCATCGTGCAGCTGAGTCAGACCAGGAAAGCCATAATACTCGGCGATCTCTTCTTCTGAGACATCGTCGCCACGACCGGCCAGCAATGCGACACGACGGGCTCGTGCTAACCTACTCGGCGCGATATCGCGTGCTGAGGCGATAGGTTCGGTGGTGTTTTGTGGTGGAGCCGGGTATGTGGTTCTCCCAATGATAGGGTCTCGAGCCGCAGACTGCGTAGGTCGTGGAGAAATGTTGTTGGTTGCTGAGGATTCTGGCGTCTGGCTGGTCTGTCCCCTTGAGACTGCCTCCATCAACGCCCTGTTTTCTTCCTCCAGTCGCGCTGCCCTCACTCTGGCTAAATACAACCTCGCATCGGCGTCAGTAACTCGGCTGCTGGGGTTCGAATTATGTGAGGATCTGGCTTCTTCAGCGGCTTCTTCAGCGGCTCGTAAGTTCGCCATAGCTTCAATGCGTGTCATCCTGATGCTGGGGACATCTGACGAGGCGTCCGACGAGCTGTCTTCTCCAGCAGCCCGTCTAGCTGCCATGCGTTGGCGTCTGCGCTCCCTGATACTGGGAATCGAATCATCTGACGAACGGTCTTCCTCTGCGGCTCGTCTATCCAACTGTTGAAGTTGCTGTCTGCTATCGCGCCTGATTCTATTCAGATCTGCCAAGTTTCGCTCGAGTGCTGCTGCTTCGGCACTGTCGTGTAGAAGCCCATCTTGAAGACGCGCTGCTTCCAGTTGTCTCATTTCAGCCACCGCTAAGTCATGCCTAGATTGCAGTCTAGCCCTTTCTTCTGCTCTTCCCGATACCCTTGTCTGATCGGCGGAGCTGGCTACAGGCTCACCATGAAGGGAGCTATGAGGCGGCCACGTACCAACCACCGTTTCGACTCCCTCAGCGTCTCTTTCCACGACCAGTCTCGGCCTTCGAGTGCGGTTCCTATCTTCTGCCTCCAAGACATCCTCAACCCGACTTCTTCGGGTAGTATCTGGTGTGCCCACAGACCGGGATACGACACGATCTGAACCGGGCGGTCGCATAACAAGTGCTGCGAGGGCCGCCTCATCCTCTCGTTCCTGAGCAGTCTGTCTCCGCCAATGGGCGATGTTCGCATATTCTGCCCGACGCCCCAAGTTCTCAGCATGGGTTGACCTTCTCGATCGCCCGCTGTCACCTGGTGTGTCTGAAAGCGGGATGGGGCGATGATTAAAGTTTACCGGTTGCGCAGGAATCGGTGTGCGGGTGGCTGTAGGCTCTCGTCCCAAAGCGACCTGAGTCGATCTTAGGTTATTTTCCAAAACCCTTAGGTTGTTTATCTGATCTTCTCGCGCACGCCGCAAGGTCTCATATTGTACCTGTATCCTCTGCTCCATGATAGCTTCTCGGGTGCGGCTTGGAGGATCAAGGTTCATTGACGGTTGGGGCACTGGCGCCGCATACAGCTCACAGCGGCAATTGGGACAAGTGCGGTTTCGTCGTCCATCGCCTTGGAGCCAGGTGAGCAGGCAGACAGCGTGGAACATGTGGCCGCATGGGCGAGCTATCTGTACCACATCCTCGGCCAGGTGTTCGGCACAGATAGAGCAGTCTGAGTCTTCTGGTTGGGCGCTTGCTGGTATGATGCCAGTCATGAAGAACTCTCCTTGGCTGCGGAGAGCGGGCATGTTAGACGGCGGTGTGGTGTTGGTCTGTGGGACATCACGCTCGTTAGAAGACGATGATGTATCATTGGGCTCCGGAGTTCTACGCCCGACGTAGGAGTCCATGTTCACGGCTGTGCTGGTTGATACTTTCAGGTGGGACTGGAGAGTCGAATGTGGGTTGAGGAGATTATCTGTTGAAACCCGGCGGGAATCACACAATATAGGCTCCTCTTTATTAGACTGTGAACAGCATTGGGCTGTGGCTGTACAGCACTGTGGCGAGATGGACATTCACAATGTAAGATCCTATGGGCAGGATCTATGACCTACTACTTTCACTGCTTCTTCTGCAGTCTTGGGTGAAATATCTGTCACGATGATCTGGGCTTTCGCGTCCTCAGGCCTTCACTCGCGACTCTAATTAAAAACCGGGGCTGACAAACAAGACATTTGATCAATGATTTCTATTGTATTCGTTCGATGTCTACACCAAACCGTTGATGGCCCCGTTGAGGTAAGCCCAACATTGATAGCCAACAACCCATCATTGACACTAGCTGCATCATGAACATTCTCTTTTCACCCCACTTCAAAGCTCAAGGGGTCTTATGTATTGTCTCTTCGAACGCGCTCAAGCTTCAATCGTACCCAAATCGCCCAAACCGCGCTCATCATTCTCCTCTTTCTATCATGCCTGATATCTCAACGTAACAAGTCTAGCTTGATGCCTCGGGAACATCGGTGCTATTGTCATCTTCTTGGGGCGATTCAGACCGTGCTTCACGAGAACGAAAGCGCTGTGTATTTGATGCAGCGGCCTCTTGTGCTCGCTGAAGAATAGAAGATGGCCTAGGACGCCCCGGGGGATGTTGCCTGAAGGCAGTAGGATCTGTTGATGCGGCCCTGAAGGGTAGTGAGTCATCATGCATGTGCCTCACGACAGTGCTAGATACGCGACGTGGATGTTGTACTGACCTTGTGTCTTCCGCGGCTGCATTCTGGTTGCCTTCAGAAGCAGGCTGAGCAGCGGCTACGGTATCAGAGCGCGGAATCAAAGCGGGTAACTCAGGCAACAACGTGAATCGGCCATCGTCGAAGGTTCGTCCATACAGCATGTTGCTGTCCGTAGCAGTGCGGGGGCCATCTGGGGAGAAAGGAAAGAGTGGGCTGTGAACTCTTGAGACGTCGCGGTGGAAACCTGGAGGGGAAGGATATACATAATGTGGTGACCCTAACGATCCATTCGAAGCCGCAGACAGGGGGGTACACCCCAAGTATCGCGCGATGGCGCAACATGATCGGTCGCCCATATAGTATTTCCTGTGCCCATGGTTCTTGGATCAGGAGGCTCGCGAGATGATCGTAGGTCAGTAACCGATGGGTCGGCAAGTCGAGGAATCGCGATTCGCAGCGGCCGATGCGCAGTGTTATCCTGCGGCCCAGGCGCCGGCCCACCATATAGATGTGCAGTGCGTGGGTCATTCCGCTCCCTCTCCCGTATCTGTTCCCTTCGCTCGATAGCGTTCATTGGAAGCTCTCCAGATGCTTCTAGGTTTCGGCCTATCTGTGTTTGTACCGCGCGGAGGCGTTCCAATAACATGAGCTGCTCGTCTCGGAGTGAATCAGTAGTGCGGGTAGCTAGGTCAAGCCCTGACCCTGGTAACTCGCGGACCCTGACAAGTCGTGCAGCCTCTTGTGGCGAAAGAGGTGGGATAGCTGCAACTCCGGTGTTGAGGCCTGGTACTTCTGACAGGGGGCGACGCTCCGCGATAGCACGTGCTGCTAGATCGGCTCGAGACTCGCGTGGTTGATTCGAGAGTCCGTTAGATTGAAATGTTGATGTTGGAGGTCGTTCCGGAATGAATGTTGGAAAGGGAATATCATCGGCATCAGAATGTTCGTCCGGCTCCGCCACATCTGACGGTCCATGGCCAGTTTCTGGTTCTCTAGCGGATGTAGTAGGCCGGCGCAATGCATCAGTCATTGCTATACTGGCCGCTGAACGACCAAGTGTTTGGAATCGCGAGTTGTTGGATGCATTCTGTCGCTGTTGATTTAACATCTGCTGATATTCAAGCATTCGATTCTGACTAATTGGCTGCTGACGACCATCTGCCGTGCTAGGAAAGCCTAGTTGAAACGGAGGAAGCCGGGCAGTAGGCAAATCTCGTTCCATCGTACCGCCTCGGGGGCTCTCCGATGACTCAATGCGATGAGGCGCGTATCCAGGTAGGTGAGATCCGGGAGCGACATGAGGTACTCGAGTGACGCTTACAAACCTTCGATCTAGAGCTGGGGCTGGAGCATTGCCAGCCTGCTGCTCTTGCTGGTCATGCGCCCTCACACGTTCTTGCATATCAGCAGTGAACTGCGCGAGACGGGACTCACGATCGGGACTACCAGTAACTCGGGGAGTATTCGTCTGTGGAGTCTCTAGGGTACGAGGTCGTGTCGTAGCCACCAGTTCAACCTCTGAAGCACGTAGCAACGCACTCAACTGTTGAGGCGTCCGCTCTACAGCAGCAGGTTGCCGCGCACGTCCAAATCGCGGATCTGGCTCGTACAGCTGATGTCGACAGTTTGGGCAAGTACCTCGCTTCACACCCGTACGCGGCGCGCTCTGATCGAACCAGCTCTGTACACAGACCACATGAAACATGTGGCCGCAAGCGTGGAACTTTACCACGTCGTATGAGAGAGGTTCAAGACAGATTGTACATTCCGCGTTGTCGGGAAGACCCTCCGCGGTGGGGTCGACAGCTATCACTCCGGTCATGTAGAATTCCGGTTGAGACCGCAGAGTGGGCATATGGCTTTTAGCCCGGGGAGTCTGAACAGGCTCAGGGTTCAATATGTTTTGAATACGACCGACTGACGCTAGACGCGACTCCAAGTTTGGGTCTGACCATCTAGTTCGCTCTGTGGCAGGTCGATTCTGAGGAACGTGTAGCTCATTGACGTTCTCGGTTGGACCTATCCGCCTGTATCGTGGCGCAGGTAGAGGTGAATCTGGGCGCGGTGTAGTGGCGGCTCCTTGACCCTCTGCTTCAGTGACGGTCGGATTACTGGGAGCGACGCGCGCAGTCTGACTACCGAGAGCGCGGCGAGCCTCGTAAGCGTCCCTTGCACGAATCAGGCGCGAGCTGTTCCGAAGCCTGGTATCTTGTTGTGAACGTTGCTGTATTTCGCGGGCATCTTCTTGCGAGACCGACAATTCCCCACGACGGTCAAGACCAGCCATAGCAGGCTGCAGAGGTAGGGGTACGAAGTCAGTATATGTCTCACATGCACTTCGTATAGCCATAAATTACCATTCTAGCCCGAAGGTCCTCCCTTATCCGATCATCTCGCTCCTCCTCGGCTTCATCTCGCGAATCACCTTGATCTTGCGGTGGAGTTGGCGACGCCATAGTCGGGGTGTAGTCAAGTCGAGTAGAAATGCGATAAAGAAAGTTTTTTGGTGCGTTCGTTCGCTCGTCAGTATTTGGTGGTAGAAGCCTCTGCCAAAGAGGGTAGAGAGTAGATAGTGATGTGGTCGTTTGTCAGTATTTTGTGGGGAGGTAAACAATCAAAGACCGACGAAGGTGGTGCAAGAGCAAGTGAGATACAGCCTAGCGCCTTGTAGCACAAACCGCCAAGCAACGAATGAAAGAGGGAGAAGGTGGGAGAGAGGTCGGCTGGAGCGTTTGTCGAAGTGCGCGCTGATTCCTGAACTGGCGATACTTCTCATTTGATGGAGCTGGTCGTACGGGTTGAAGTACGCGCTGCTTCCAGGGTTCTATGCAGAAGTGTCAGCTACGCAAGAGGGGCGGATTGTAAGGCACGAAAAGCAACACGTACCATAGCGCAATGGCGCAGTCCCGCAATCTCAAGATCCAATATTCGCCACGAGCCATTCTGCCAATACAGATACTCCACGGTATGCAGCACTTATAGATTCGTAGAAAGGAGGTTACTTTACTCACAAAATTCCCAAGATGAAACCCATTCCCCATAACCTAAACGCCGTTCAATGCATCCTCCTCTATCAAAACCACCACTCTAATCCCAGCTCTTCTTCTCCACCGACGGCGTCCCCAACACACCTACACCATCACCCCTCCTCCTCCTCTTCCCCATAACCTCACTTGCCCAATCAAACATCTGCCACGCCCAACTCCCCGCAACCATAACACCACTGACAACATTCACCAGCCTGACAATCAGCCTCCAGAAGCCACCCCACTCCTCCACCACCGCCAGCAGAATAGGCTCGATATCGAACTTGACGAAGATACCCGGTACGTAGGTTTCAGCGACCTTGTGGGACTGCGATGTGACGGCGTATTGGTTGGTTTTGATGGCGTGGGTGGTGTGGAACATGTTTGAGAAGGGCGTGTCTTCTTCCGATGTGCTGGATGTGAGGTAGGGGATCATGGATGCGTCGTCGGTGTAGATGGTGGGGACTATGGAGACGTAGTATTGGAATTTGTAGAATTTGTCTTGGGGTGTTGGTGTTACGGCGATGGTGTTGTCGAGCGGGTTGACGAGGGATGGGTAGTATGGGCCGAAGGACATTTCGCGGATGATGTGCGAGAAGTTGAAAGCTTGTGGATGTTAGTTACTGCTGTCTTCGTGGTTCTTGATTCTTTGGACTTACTGGAATGGTCCAGATGTTCTCCGAACTCCATGTATCCGTGGCCCCTAGCCGTGATATGGAAGTCGCCCTGCACCTTGTTTCCGATGATGCTTCCGTAGATGCGGCAGCTGTCTGTCTGTCCACGCACGCGCGGTGTCTTGCTGAACTTGCTCTTCCGCGCCTTGCCCAGCTGCTCATGTACATCCTCGATATCGTCCCATCCAACTTTCTTATCTTTGCCAAGTTCGTGTGTCCCACTCTCGGCGTTCTTGCCGGTCCATTGCGCCCATGATGTTGGGTCTTTGCGCAGGAGTTCGCCAGCTAGGGTGCGGTCACCGGCAGCATCTTGCATGTTGACGTGAAGGTCGGCGCAGCGCATGGCTACTATCAGGTCGAGGTTTATCCGCATGCCGTGGGCCACGCCCTTCTCAACGGCGAATGACTGTGTGGTTGTGCCAGCGAACCAGCGCGCGATCTCGGACCAGGCGAGGTAGATGCACGTTATGATGAGCGTCACGGTCCAGGCGGAGGAGTTACGGCCTTGTACGAGGTACGTCTTCTTAGTTTTAGCTGTAGACGTCGGTTAGCATTGGGTTCATACTGGATCAAGCGCGATGTCGCATGTGGCTGGGAAGTCGCATCACGACATGTATTGGCCATTCGAGACTTTCAAACTGCCAGCTACTCCTCCCTTCATCTCTACACCCGCGTAAAGATAACACTTACGAAAGGCATCGAAACTCGATACAATGCCACCCTTGGCTGGGCCAAATGGATCCTCGTCGTGCCCGTTATCCCCGTAGCCGTTCATGGTGGGCAGTCAAACGAACAATCGGGGTGCTGCAGACCCAATTCCGATTCGGTGAACGTTTAGGTAAAAGAAAGAAGCGTGGGTTGGATAATGAACGACATTGACAGTTGAGGTTCATGCCGCGTCGCGAAAGGCCACCTTGAACTGCTGCAACGGCCCGCGTCCGTGCCCGCGGAAGAGGCCCGATTGGGAGGGCCCCGCCACGTGCTGCTTTCACCCCTCGAGTTTGTCGCTTTCATCAACAGAACATCGATAACAGGTGCAGGTCATTATTTTTTATTCGTTAGGCTCATTACTCTATGGTGGATGTATATCGCCATGCATCATCGAAACTCTAGGCGTTGGTATCACCCAAGTTGCTGAACTTGGAGTCGCCGCCTTGAGCCAGGTCCCTGTTCTCCACCGCAGCACTCGCCGCAGCCGCCTTCGCCAACTTAAGCTCCGCTTGCCTAGAAGGGTCATCCTTTGTACCGATCTCGCCAAACTTGGTGTTACCGCTCATGTTGGGGTCTTCTTTCAAGTTGGCACCCTTGGGCTGGAGAACACTGGGGTCAATGTTCTTTCCAGCAGCAACACCTGTAGGTGCTGTGCCAGCGCTGGCAGCGCCTCCTGATGAAGCACCTCCACCAGCAACTGCGTATGTAGGACCAACACCGGCCTCCTTACCCAGACCTTTGCCTGAGTTCATGATCTTCTCCTCGTTCCATCCTTGTTGCGCGTCGCGTGCCTCGGCATTGACGGCGGCGTCTAGCTTGGTGGCGTTTGATGTGTCGTGGGTGTTTGTGGTGGTTGATGCTGATGGCTGCTTGCTTGCTGCGGCCTTGGGGTTGCCCTCGCCGAATGAACCGTCGCCCTTCAGAGACTCGCCTGCTAGAGAGTCTGATGTGACGGTGCCGACACCCTCGTGGACGGGGATCTTAGACGCGGGGTCGGTGGTAACCTATTGACAGTAAGTTAGTGAGTGTTTCTGCGATTCCGTCATGACAAACGAGGTCATGGACCAGCGATAAACAACGAAGTATGAGAGCTCCAGACGGAGAACTTACCTTCTGTCCGTGCGAAGCCGACATGCTGTTGTTTGGTATAGTTCTTTTGTGTTGTAATTGTTGAGATTTGGAGTAAATCAATTGATTGGATTCTGGAAGTTGTGGTAGTTCAAGTGGTATGAGTACCTGAAGTCAAGTGCAAACTTGACCTATGTATACCGTCAGACTTCAAGCCCCGATATACTTGCGTCATGACGTCGTCACATGGAGACATCCCACCTTACTTCAGCCTTACCTAGGTGCTCAAAACAACCCCGCCTTTAGTCGAACGGCCGTAGCAGTGGTAGCTCGGAAAGCGGCAATGGGCCCACCCATACATATGCTAGAGTCGGGCATACGTGCATACTGCGGCTGACATGGCGTCAGGAACGGGTGACATCCGGCCAGATGCTGTTGGTGCGCCTGTCGCATGCGCAGTTTAATCCGAAACGCGTGAGGCGTTGGCACGAAGTCTAGCATGGGGCAATGGGATTCATTCATACATCATCGTCTTCATCACGACATCACAATTCGACAGGGAGATGACATATTCGTTTGTTCGTTCATTTCATTCATTGATCATCGTAAGACTGCTCTTGCAGTCTGCTACTAAGCGCAGTGATAGTAGCCATAATCATACAATCCCATGATGCTTCGGGTATCTCATTATCCTTCCTCCTGCAGTACTCTACTGCTTGACGCCCGCGCTGGGGTCGTTCTTCTGTGGGTATCCGTAGTCCTTGTTGGTGGTGTCGGCAAGACCAGCCTTGTCCTTGGCCTCGCGCGAGACAGCGTCGTTGGGGATGCCACCAAGGCCATCCTTGGCCTCACGTCCGGAAACACCGCCAGCACCGACAGCGGGTTCGCGGATGGCACCACCGCCGGAGGCGAAAGGGGCTTCTTGGCGACCGGAGCCAACGTTGACGGTGCTGGCATCGGCAGAGTTGAAGTCGGAGGCGACAGGGGGCTGCTCGGGGAGAGGGAGGTTGGACTGAGCCTCGTTGACAGCTTGGGTGTTACCCTTCATGTCGACGGTGGTGGGAGCGTAGCCTTGCTGAGAAGAAACCATTTTGAATGTGTTTGTGCTGAAGATATGTTAGCAACATAAACAGACGCGTGCTCGTGGATGGTTTGAGGGCGTCGCGCCAGGAACGGCAAACTTAACCCGTCCACCACACCACCTCTTGGAATGAAACTTACGTTGTAGGTATAGGAAGAAAGACAAAGTTTTTGAGAATGTGAATCTGGTCGTGAAGATGTAATTGAAGTTGTGGTTGTGATACTGAAAAGAAAAGAGTGTTCAGGCGCGTCGTGGTTTTATTATGGCAGTGGGGAGCGGTTGCCCCACCGGTGACGTCGACTTGATGTAATTCCCCATCGAAGATTGCCATCAAACTCTGACAAGACCCTTCCTCACATCATCGCAGATCGGGTATGCTTCTGCAGAAATAGTTAGCGTTGCTCGTGCTTCGGAACGAGCGAGCCGCTACGTGTCGCGTGCGGTGTTGGCAGTGGAGGCGTTCCAGGTAGTGTCTCAGGCGTAAGCGACACAACCTTGATCAAGACTTCACAACTGCCAAACCCTTGTAAAATTGCAACGACTTGGGGATTGCAGACTTGATAACATTACGAATATAATTGCATTGTAAGCCGCAAAGAGCATCCCATCGTCAACGCCTCGGAGCTTTATTGCGACCCACAGACCTTAGTTCAATCGCCAACTCGATATTAGTACATAGAAGCAGTCTGAGAACGGAATCGAATCAGTACATAAGTGGAGAAGACGGAGCATGGAGCCCCATGAAACGTTGTCAAAATCCTAGGAACCGAACCCTTGTGTACGATCCAAGTATGACCAGTCCCGTGCGGATATTCTTCGGTCCCGGAAGTATCGTCATAGTAGCGGACGATACTCCACAATGGTATTGGTTCACGGTATCGAGGCCCAGTTGCGCAGGAACCAGTCTTGGAAACGAGTGACCTGCACTTCTGGGTAGACTGAGTTGAGGTAGGCGGGTACCGCAAAATCATAGCGCCCCTCCGCTGTCGCGAGGAGCGGTGCGAGCCGCCTCTGTCCGGCTGTGTCTCCTCCTAGTTGAGCCATCGTCATTTGGTACTCGAGATCTACGTAGTCGGTCAGCAACTGCATGAATGCTGTAAAGAATACCTGCGTACTGGCGGGGGCTTGGTAGTCAATGCTAGCCCATGGTCGGTCTAAGGACATGTTAGCAAAGTTCATTCATCAGACAGACGGTGATGATACTTACTACGGCACGCCTTGATAGCCTCGACCAAGGCATGGACGGTCATACGCTCACCACACATGCTCATCTCGGAAGGCCAAGTTGGCATGTCGAGGGCACGAACGACGAACTGTGCCACGTCGTATGCGGATGTCAGGCAGATACAGGAGAGGTTTTGGTTTGCGTCGTAAATCGGTGCCATCGAAGTCATCTGCCGTGGGTCGGCGATGAAGTCTCCCTCGTTTCCATAGCCGCTATGAGTCCCAAGACGATGAGACATCATCCCGTTCACCGAGAAGCGCTCATAAAGTATGCCACAAACAAAGACCGTATACTGTATATTGGCGCGGTAGTGGTGCAGTAAAGCCAACGCAGAGTTGCGGCCACGATCGAGCAGCGCGTTTTGGCCTCGCTGAATTGGCAGACCTTCAAATTCCGCAGGTGCAAAGCGACGAACCCGGCACTGTACAGCAGCTTCTATTAGACGGAGTTGGGGATTGCCCAGTACAGTCGAGATGACAGTATCGACACCCATCAATGCATGCTGCAGAGATGTGGGGCTATTGTAGTCAACGACTTGACAGTTGTAACCAGAAGCGATCAGGCTCGTTTGATGCTGGTGATCGTTAATTCATCACTTGGTAATCGGGAGGTGGACTGTGTTCTTCCAAGGGGTACTTACGGTTCGCGAGAGAATGATCAGCTGGTGGCTCGTCGAGTTGTTGATCTCTTGTGCTATCAGAAGCGCTAGACCAGAAGTGCCTAACAGTGTAAGAAGGTTGCCCGAGCGTAGTTTGCTTGGCCCTTGATAGCTGCCTTACCTGCTATTGCGACGCGCATGTTGCCAGACATTGCTTTGCTTGAGCTTGTTAGGTTAAAAGAGGATGCTGGGGCGTATGAGCTTATAAGTTCGATCCTGTATCTTGTGTAGCACAAAGCCGAACGTGAGTTGGGCTTTAAGACTGCCTCCGTCAACACCACCACATCGCTATGAAGGCCCGTGACTCACAAGGGTGGCACTGTATCGGTGAAAAGGGTGAATGTAACGCACAGATTATCGTGGTCGGCCTGAAATATCGCAGCAACAGGGGAAAGCTGCACATATGGGAACATCGCTTACAATACAGAGTTATGTGGAAGTGACGCTGCCAATGAGATTGACTTGTAGCGTAAAGAAACACAGACAAAGCCTGTTACATCAAGGAATTCCTGAAGCCCAGTCTAGTGCTAGCACGAAGGTAGCCCGACTGCCACCGTCTTCTGCAACGTGCATGGGTGTTCGGAGGTTGGCGCGACAAGACATGATGATGGGCTAACGGCGGACCTCTTCGCCTCTTGGGTACAGTTGCCTGCTTTCGACGCCTTTCCCGCTGGGTCAAATGTTCGCTAGTCAACAATCAGGGGCCGATTCGCTGGAGTGTTGTCCACGACAGCTCCCGTGACTCTTGGCTCAACATGTGATACAGTGGAAGAGATAGCACACTTGTTGCGGATGGCGGACAGAGACCGGGAAGAGAGGAATAGAGGCCTAAGCCCTGCATCCGATCAGAGGACTAGAGATGAAATCAACGGAAGAAACACCTGGCCCCGGCGAATCAAAGCCAAACGAGCATCGAGGCCGTGCATAGTCATGTCCTGCGACAATAGCACTAGGCAGTGAGCTCCAACCAATTGAAGTGCTAGCTGAACGTTCAGTCACGGTCCGCGTTCCAGTGGTAGAGTGGCGGTTATATCGTGCGAAAGGATCTCAGACTCCAGAAGCTTCGCGGCGGAAGCGGAGTCTGTGTACGAAAGTGGATCCGTAGGGCTAGCCCTATACCACGATGCGACCGTATCTCTGACCGAAGTGTAGATTCTCGGGTGTGAAACCCTCATCCGAGGCTCGATGCAGTAGCTCGCCTACGCGAACAGGAACCTAGCGGTCGGGTTATCTTGTTTCGTAGGGCTGTCAGAACAGCACACCGTTGGTAGCTGTGATTTGGGCAAGGGTACTTTCCGCCAATCATCCATCGTAATGGCAGGTTAGGAGGTAACTGGTGATGACGAGATAGGAAAATGGGGCCAAAACCGGTGAGGCTCAAGGATTGCACGAACGCCAAAAAGCCACGGGCACTCGGTTAGATTTCGATGGCCAATACGCGAATGTTGAAACTCCAGAAGTGCCGCATGCAGCACGTGGTTGCGGGATAGTAAGCTGTCTTACGAATATCTTCTGTCGGCTTCGGTCCGAGCAGTGCAACTCTCCTTGGCTCCTGAACACAGACATCGTCAGAGTGTACTGTACAAGGCAGAAAGACACCGATCAGTCTTGACGCGAAAGATCTGTATAATCAGGCCACGGAACCCTCCGACTCTTGCTCCGAAACCTTCTGCCTTGTATGTGTCTTCACCGGTGGATGTGGGGTAGGAAGGGATGGAACAATGAGACCGCGACTAGACCAAAGTGCATGCAAAAGGTCAGATGCTAAGCAGGACAAGTGAGTATGCGCATCTGCGGGAAGAGAGATGGAATGGTGGTTGAGCATCGTGCAAGCCCATCTGACGGTGAGAGTTACAGCCAAGAGAGTTAGACTGCAGGCCGGACTGGATAGTCGTTGAGTAGCGTGTCGCTGCCTAGATTGCAGTCGCAATGATGCGTACAGACAGGGTAGGTCATCGGAGGATACCGATGGTAGAGAGTTTGTGTCAGAACGTTGTGATGAGCAGAACCGTGCATTGTTTGACTCGTGTTTCGCGGATGTGGCGGGGTGATTGGAAGGGTTAGCGCGTCACGTGCGGACGTGTTTCACCACTATCCTTTTTGAGTACTAGCTTTGTCAGTGCTACGCGTGTGGAAACAGAAGCATGGTTTTCGTCGCGACTCCTACGCGTCTTCATCCCGCGTGGAACCAGATGATGTCGAGAAAGGGGCGGCAATATACAGAGGCCCAATACTGTTGCACGAATCTGCTGTGCAATGGGCTCTGCTCACGCGCGTTCTTGGACGTGTTCCGAAATAGGGCTGAGAACCTTGGAAAAGCAAAACAGATAATTGTCGTCCCGCGTTCGCGTAGTTCCTTGCAAGACGCCGACATGAACGACGAAAGGCTATCGAAGTGATGGGATGCACGCGTTTTTGTCAGCGATGCTTAGATTGGGCGTGATAGAATGTGACAATTTCTCAGCCTCATCATGCTCGTGCATGCGTGACCATCTGCCGCATGGATAATACAGGATATGAGGCTGGAGTGGTCGTGTGCACGGGCGGCAAGTTCAGTCAAGTGGTATGCACGACATAGGCAAGCGCTCGGCTCGGACCAATCTGATACGTACGCGACTGAAGACGCGCCTCGCACACTACTTTCCTGCCACCATGTTGAACGCGTTATTCTTTCTACTATAACTCTCTTTCATGGTAGCTCTTCTCTGATCACACCAAATCCAATTGCCAACATCCATTGTTGTCATCCCATCATGTCCGCCTCATCGCCCTTGCCGTCGTTTTCCTCGCCTGCGTCATCGCGTCTTCCCACCGTCAGACGCGCCAGTTTTAGTGGTCAATTGGCCTTCCTCGTGCACTCGCAGGAAACTGTCGCAAACCACATGCCACCGGATGTCGACAACAAAGCTCTTGCTCGCCAGAAGAGAAGACGCACCAGGTATGCTCTCATTCCATCCAAGTTCTGCCTTTCCATCTCGACCGTGTCGACCCATGTTCAACGCGTTGGTTCGTGCGCAACCTACCATCGGGAGCTACTTCGGCCTACCCCGCGGGCACGACTCTCCATCACCCCATCAGCGCTGACCACGACATCTTGCAGCAAGGAAGACGAAGACGTGTTGAAGTCGGAATATCTCAAGAACCCGAAGCCAGACAAGGCTGCACGACTAGACATCGTCCGCAAAGTCGCGCTTGGCGAGAAAGAAGTTCAGGTAAGCGCCAATTTCTCCACGTCACGAGTGTGCGCGCCTTGCTAACATCGCGTCCTAGATTTGGTTTCAAAGTAAGTCAATCCATCTGTTGTGCGCGTCGCTGGTGCTTGCTTTTCAATCGATCCGATTGAATCGCTCCGAAGTGTTGCGCGTGGCTTGGTTGTGCGCATGATTTTCGAAACACGTCCTGATCACGCTTTGCTTTAGATAAACGCCAGAACGACCGCCGTCGCTCACGGCCTCTCGAACCATCTTCCACGGCATCGCTGATGTCTTCTTCTTCCACCATGTCGGACCCGCCCACCGAGGACGAGACGGTAGCCATTGCGCGCAATATCGATAACGCGCCGGGGCCGAAAGACGCGGGCGAGTGTCCGACGTCTGACCCACCCGAGCAGCCCGCAACGCCAGAACTCACTTCCGACGAAACGATCCCAGAGCCACGCACCATCGACACTGCCTTTTCTGCCAACGAACCAGAGAACGCGAATGAAGTTGTCGCAGAGCCATCTACCGAAACTCAAAATACCGAAAATGCCTCCGCTGAAATAAGCAACTCGCAGCAGGCTGCACCATCTTCACAGGGCGCCGCGCAACAACGCACATCATGGATCTCCAACCGTCGCAGCGCGTCGTTCGTTCGCTATCTCGACGATTACACGCCCGAAGTCATCACCTTTCCGAACGCCCCTCCGAAGCCTTCAGTATCACCTGACCATGCGACCAAAACACCTTCCCGGCCACTGAAGCGCAAGCACTCTTTCGTGCGGATAGCGACCAATGAGGACGGCACTGCGCGTATCGTCACCGATCTCGACAAGACGCCATCACCGCCAAAGTCGAAGAAGACTCCATCTTCCTTCTCCCGTGCCGCTGCTGGCCTGCGACGAAGCTACAGTGCAGCTGGCTTGAACGACCGCCTAGCCGCCGCCGCGCGAGGCGAGCCGAGCCCCAAGGTACCAAGGACAACATCGAATATCGGAAGGAGCAGGGATTCGCGCGCATGGGAGTTCTGGTGTGATCCCGAGAGCCGATCAACAACCAGCCTGACAACACGTGCCGAACAAGAGGAGAGTGGCAGTGCAGCTGACGCGATTGGCATACTACGCGCGAACCGAAGGATATTAGCACAGAACCAGGCCCGCCAAAACAGCAGTCCGCTGATGGCACGCCACAGCTCACACAAAGTACAAAGCAGTCCACTCAAGAAGGCTCGCGGTTCCATGCAACGCGCGTCCACCATCAACGGCCGCTTCTCCAGCAAGGACTATGCCGACTACAAGAAGGGCGGCGAAAGCACCGAGTCGGACGAGTTCCCGCAAACGGAGAGCGACAAGGAGAACTGGGAGCCTAACGCGTCCAAGTCTGTACGAAGAGACCGCCAAGTCGCCGCTACGCCTCCTGCTTCACGAGCAGCTCGCAAGATACTGGGAGAGAACACAGATCTGATGTCGCAGACGTCAAGTCTCGGTGCCATGCTGGCCAAGGACAAGCGGAAAGCTGGCAAGAGTGTTGTCGACCCCGAGCAAGACGATGAGCTGCGACAGTTCATGCACGGTGACGACGCGAGTGGTCGCTCTAGTATAAACTCAGCAGAAGAAGCTGGGTGCGTAGAGGGCCTGCTCAAGCTGAGCCAAGGTCAGTGGAAATGATCTTCCAAGCGCTGTATACATTCTTAACGTATTTTGACGACGGGTTGGCGCAATTTTGGTTCCTGGCTCTTCATCTTCATCGTTGCATTCTAGCGCTACGGCGTTTGTATTTGGTGTGGTTTAGACTAGGGCAAGCCTGCAATATGGCTAGAGGTGTTAGTGTAAGGGTCATCTAGTGTTGCATGTCAACGCTTTAGTATCATTCAGTCAAGCTTCCGAAAGGTTAAGCGACTTGTTTCAATAGAAGTCATATCATTCTTCAGCTCTTCTCGCTTAATGCCATGCTTGCGAAATGTGAGTCTTGTGGGGAGTTGCAATGGGTTTGTGAGTGAAACAGTCTATTGAGTAAGGAAATCTATGGGCAAAAAGCAGAGTCTATGACAAGGTTGTAGGAAAACGCGACGCAACAGCAGACGAAAGGAAATAAGAGAAATCCACAAAAGAGGAGGAAAGAAGAGAAACACATCCGCTCGCCATCCGCACAGTGTGAGCCATCCACCACTATGCTCTCTAGTCTCATCCTCGCAGACGATCACATCCAAAACATAGTCTTGCGTATGTTCGCATGCCAGGGATTCCTACCAGGTGCGTCCTCACCACCATACATCTCTTTCTTCGCCTGTTTCATGACCCACTCCTTGCATTCATCCTCGACCTTCTTCTTATCATCGCTCTCCATCTCCAGCTCTCCCAGAGTCTTCGGCCGCTTGCGACCGTTCGCGTGGCGTTCAGCACCAAATTTCTGGATACGAATCTTCGATAACTCGTCTTCTTTCTTGTGCTTCGCGGTTTCGAGCTGGCTGCGCCGGACTTCGCCGTTGGAGGTTCGCACGAAGAAGTCGCGGAGATAGATGCGGCCTCGCTCGCACAATTTGTCGGCGTAGTAGGCAGGTGAGGCGTAGGATACACCGACGGTAGCGCGGACATAGCTGTAGCATAGCTCATGGGTCTAGTGAATGGTTAGTATGTCACAGTCGAGGAAAGAGGTCCAACTCACTAGCTGACGAAGATCGTCGACGCTGTTGCTCATGTCGTTCTGGATGACGAAGTAGTGCGTAGGACGGGCTGTCCCCTTCAGGGCGCAATGGGATTGTAGGTAGAAGTCTTGGTAGTATGGCGAGCAGACCACGTCGTCGACAAAGGTACCGGGGTGACAGTTGTTATGGCTGTCTTCGTCGCCTTCTCCTGGGTAGAAGCGTGTGTTGTGACGTTTCGCGCAGACTATCGCCGTGATATTGATCTTTGGGTTGGCAGTGCTCGGGATGCTCTTCTTGTTCTTCAAGTTCGTAACAACGGTGTCGAAAGCAAGCTGTATTTGCGGTAGCTCTGTGGTCTTGATGTCTCTGTATTGAGAATCTCCAACACCATCTCGGTAGTAGAGGATGTTCGTGGGGAGGGTGGTGCCGCCATGTTCCTCGACCCAATCAATGATGCGTTCGACAACCATAGCCTTCACTTCGTCGATGATCTGTGATACTCGTTAGCTTCGCGTAGCTCACCATATCGCACACAAAAACTTACCTCTTTCTTGTCTTTGCTCTGTAGCCTCATGGATCCAAGGAATCGACCACCTAAGCCATCGATGGACCCGACGATAGCTGCAATCGATGGGCAGCCAGTAATCGATCCCTTGCCTGGATGTGTGACGTCTGCTCCAAGAACCAGCGTGTTAGGCATGATTTCCTTCATTTTTCCGTCTGCAACACAGTGGTTGCTGCCACCAGTCTTGAGGTTCATCTTCAGCATCAGGTTACCCATGAGCTGACCTCGACCGCTCCCGTTTAGAGCTGTCTGGGTGACGCAGAGTGAGTGGAAGCCCCATTTTCGGTCGCATAGATCCTTGAAATGCGCATATGATTCCGCGCTCTTGTTTCGCAGGATCAGTAAAGCAAAGTTTGTACCCTTCGCTGCAGCCTCGAGTGCACTGTCCACAGCGGTGCGTGAGCCAGTGTTTACAGGCTTGGCTTCTCCAGAAGGGAATTGCATTGTGGCAACGCTGTAATTTGGAATCGTCTGAGTTCCGTTCGTCGTTGGTCCACCGGCAAATTGGCGTAGATCTTTGGTGCAAGAAGCCGGGGAAACTTTCCAACCTTTTAACATACCGCTGCTCGCAATGATGGTGCCTTTGAAAAGGGTATTTTGGTTTCGGTCGAGTAGTGCCAGACCCTTTGTGTTCCACCTGTTCTTAGCCTGAAGCGTGCTATCATTGCCGTACTGTATCGTAGGATAAGGCTCTTGAGCGCTGGGAACCTTGAGCATTCGTGGATCGATAGTGATAATCGGACACTTAGCCTATGAAACCCGGAGTTGTTAGCAGTACGCTAGATACCTGCATTGGGGTTTGACTCACCAAAGTCAGTGGGGTAGTTGTGTCTCTTGGAACTTCCATAGTCTCGAGGGCTTCCACATCGACGAGAGCTGCTGCATCATAAGGAATATGGCATGCGGTATCAAGCATACCAGCTGTGACTGCGTCTGGCACTAAGCCTTTGTACATCTGATATGGAAGAAGGATGAGGTCCTCGGGGCAGTACCATCGGGGCTCTTGTCGCGAGCCGAGATTGACGGCTGGAAGATCAGGATATGTAAGTTTTCTGCCGTACGCTATACACGTTAGTTCGAATATGACGGGTGTACTGTGGCCTACTTACTGCTTTCGAAATAATCTTGAACGGTCCACACCTTTCCAGACTCAAGTTCGAACTGTTGCACACTAAGCATCGCGCCCAAGTCTTGAATGGTCTTTGTGCGGCCTTTTTCGCTGTTCAATCTCTCCCAAGCTTCTGGATCTTGCAGCTTGTCGCCCCTCTCATAGTTGATGTAGACGCGCAAGCCTCTCAGCGGAGCATTGAAATCGCGGTCTTTGAAGTTGGAGAATGCCAAGTCGTCGGTGAATACCCGGTCTAGGGATACCGCGAGAAAGAAAGCACTCGTAGCGGCGTTGACGTTCAGAAGTACCCGCTCAATACCTGCTTTGATGGTGTAACTGTATCCTCGTATTGTGCAAAGCGACTGCGAAAGCTTTTGTTCTGGGCCTGGTTTCTTTCCATTGCTAAGAACCTCATACGCATCCTTCAGGTAAAACTTGTTCGCGCCGGTTTGCATTGTCTGATAGTCTTTCGATTCGTCAAAACACTTGGATATCAAGATGTTCAGCGCTCGAATTATAGGCTGTATGTCTGCATTGGCATAGTCTGGGTCGATGGTTTTGTACAGGAACAGCGGTTGCGTGTCGACAACTCCCTCGAACCTGAACCGCAACGGAAGCTGTGTGCCGCTCTCCACGAAGGTGTTGAGTTTCCATTCAGAGCCTGCCTTACCATCGCCGCTGAGCTTGGGATGACCTGTCCCAATTGAGGTGTGGAGCGATTTCCAAGCAATTATGGTGTCGAAGTAGTCTGTAGCAAAATTCTGCTGGTTGCTCTGCAAAAAGTCCGTGTCCTTGATAGCAGCTTCGATAATCGCTCTGATCTTCCTCTTGTTCTTTCCAGGTATAGAAGGTAGGATCTTGTATTCGTAGAGAATCGTCTGAGGAGCAATGTCAATGGCGTAGTGGTTTGTGTAGACAGTATGGGTTGACTCCGCAAATCCCTGTCTAGGCGGAAAGTGAGCAGTGACCTTGTTCCCAAGAAGCTTTTGCAATTTCCGGACAGTGTTCTCAGACGAACCGAATGGAATTCCGTCCCTTGCAATATCACGTCCGAACGGTCGCTGTCGGCCCGGCACCATGTCTCTAGAGACAGGAGCTTCTGTGACTTCAACTGGCACGGATGTCATGGAGCCGCTAGCTGGCGGAAGAGAAACGTTCGCAAGACTGGAAGAAATCTGGCCGGTAGGCGTAGCTGCCATACCCGTTAGAGTTTGTTGGGTTGCGGAACTAGCAGTCGGTTGAGGGACGATTGGAAGCGGGGAATACGCGGAAGTCGCGAATGAAGTAGGAGGAACCGGCAATACCGCTGGAGGTGGCTGTGCCACAGATGTAGGTTGATTCGTATGTACAGCAGATGGAGGAACAGATGTAGCAGGTATAGGAGCAGGGGGAGCTACAGGTGTAGGCGCCGCTACTGGCACAACCGCCGGCGGCATCTGCGCCCTTAAGCGTCCAGCCGTAAAAGTAGTAGCTCCATCGGGTCGAGGATGAAAGTCAAGCTGCCGATGATGAATGTAAGCAACCGCAAAGTCTTGTTGATTGGAATCTTGGTCATTGAAGATGTCGTGCGAGAGTTTAGTAAGATCGGCGGGCGAGGGACGGGCAGTAGGGCAGTCGATGAGAGCGTGTTTCTTCTTCTTGGCTTGGCCCGGCTTGCACCAGATGCATTTCTCGTACATGATGTCGTCGTTGATCCTCTTTAGAAAGTCGGAAGTGAGTGCGGCTTTGGCTGCGTCCAGGGTCAGGTTTGGGATCTGAGCCATGGCTGGAGTGTTGACGTAGGAGAAACCACGAGTTGTGAGTGACGAGGGGATGGAAGAAGTGCCGCGATGCCTTGAGGTTGAATTCTCGTCTCGAGTAGCTAGACAAGGTATCAGCTGCGTTCGCTGGTGTCCATCTCAACACTGTCCTCCAGCATCTTCATATACACATGTCTGAGTGTCTCATTGCTTGCCAATACTCAAGACAAGCCAACACAATCGTGTTTGGGAGGCAGTTTTCGAGAGACAAAGAGTGCCCCCAACCACTCTGAAATGTCTGATTGTGACGCAAACCAAACAAGTCAGTCTTGGATGTCGGCAAAGCAACTTGGATATCGGCAAAATGAGCTAGACGTCAGTAAAGTGGTTTCAGAAGTGGATTCCAGTCGAATGCGCGTCCGCACAGGCGGATTCCAAAGCGCTGCAGGGCCATCGGGACCGCTATGCTGATCCCAAGCTCATGACGCTGTATTTCAATTCACAGTCAGTTCTCATTCAGTCAAGAACACTCGGCTTGTTGAGAGCGCAACTCACCTGCATACAAGCAATCCGTCAAAGCTTGCTCGTGTAGTGCACTCCAATGCGTGCGATCTCACTCGAGTGCAGCAAGCGCCGGTGATCGTCAAGGAAGTAGAGTGAGCCGTGTTCATGATGAAGAGAAGTCAAATGCGTATACCAGAGAGGGGATAAAACCGTGGGGTTGGGAGATCCGTGGTTGATGAGTGCGGGGAAAGGAAGTCGCAAGGACGGATTCGGAAGGAGCGTTAGAGAAGGTAGTCGCGGCCAACCTAGAAATTAGACGTCAAAAATTCCACATCACCATCCACACCCCACACCACCAGCACTTCAGAACACAGACAGAGGTAATATCAGTGTCGCTTGCTTATAGACAGCCCAACCAGCCAACCAACCAGTCAGCCCAGCCAGGCACCCATCTTCGGACCACAACAGGAAAAAGATCTACACACAAGACAAAGAAAAAAGATTTGTACATATCTAATGTACAAGTCCCAATTAAGAAGATTACAAGACGATAAGAGTAAGTGCGACATTAAGTAAAGAGGACAAAACCGGGTATATGCAGGGAAGAGCATGCAAGTCGTTCAGGTATCGCGGACAGTGTGTGAGAGAGGGACAGGGATGCGCGGATCGCGGTAGGTGGGAAGACGTTTATTTGGCGCCGGGTGGTAGCTTGACGTTGTTGGACAGCCAGGCCTGGATGTGAATGTTAGATGGGTGCAATGCGCAGAGTGAGAAGGGTTCAAACGTACCAATCCCTCAAAGATACCCTCTCCTGTTGTCGCGCAGCTGGGCTCGACCTTCCATACGTGGTCTTTGGCGATCTTGTCTAATTGCAGACGGTCCGAGACTTCCTTTGGTCGCATAGCTATATCGTGTCAGCCCAATATCCCTCACATTCGCACTTTTCATGTCTACGCACCTCCGCTAAGATCCTGCTTGTTCGCAAACACCAACAACAGCGCATCCTTCATTTCTCGGTCCTGGATAATCCTTGTGAGTTCCTGCTTGGCCTCGTCGATGCGGGTGCGGTCGTTGGAATCGATGACGAAGATGAGACCTTGGGTGCCTGTGATTGCGATTAGCCACGTCGTTCAATTGATAGATCTCATAGGAGGCCGGGTAAGGTAGGAGCCATGCGCATGCAGTCGCGTGCATGTCGACTCGCCTACCCGGAACCGTGCCTCCACGGCCCAACATACCAGAGAAGTAGTGTCTCCAGAGCGGACGGATCTTGTCCTGGCCGCCGACGTCCCAGACGTTGAATTTGGTGTTCTTGTATGTGACGGTCTCGACGTTGAAGCCGACGGTGGGGATCGTGGTGACGTCCTGGTCGAGCTTGAGCTTGTAGAGGATGGCTGGGAGAGTTAGCGACAGCGTATGTGGTGTGATGGTGGTGCGTACTGGTCTTTCCGGCGGCGTCGAGGCCCAGCATCAGCAGGCGCATCTCCTTGGAGCCAAAGACCTTGGCCATCATCTTGGATATTGAACCCCCCATGGTGCTGATTTACGCGTTATGGACTTGGTGGTGGTGTCGAGTGGGCGGTATATCGGCGAAAGCGAGCTATAGCTAGTGCGCGCGACGGAGGACGGTAGACGGCAGGCGGTCGGGCGTGATAAGGCGTGTCGGTGAGATTCAATGGTGGTCGTGTGTGGGAGAAGACGTCAAGATGTAGACGGCACAGGAGATGCAAATGTGTAGCGACTCGGGACAGGGTCTCGCGTGGGCGCTGGCGCTGTTCACGAAATGAGGTTTCACGCTGCTCAGGAGTGAAACCGCAGCAGGCGCGTTGCAGATCGCAGCTGCCAAACGTCTGTGCTCCGCCCAACGGCTTGATCGTGACGGGTTCATCCTACACGCCAACCACACACCTCCATCACCGCCTCTCCTGCTTTTGCCTCAGTCGGCGAAAAGGGGCTCACAGCTCGACTACGCCCTTTGATTGCGAATCTTGGCTAAGATGAAGCAAAGGGTCTCCGCATGCGTTACTCGCTGCATCTGCATGCGCGTTGGCTGCACGATAGCTGCAGCTAGCCATATAGTTTCCAGCAGCCTTTCCTGCCGTGTGACTTTGCCGCCGCCGTTCGATTCACCGAATGCCGGCAAACGCAGGTACGCGGCGCTACTCCTGAGATTGATGAAGCCGTGGGGTCTGCGCCGTTCGTGTGGGAACTGGCAGCAGTTCACTCACTGCATCTTGCCTGTACACACGGCGTTACCGTGACGTATTCCGATCTTCCCGTTTGGCTAGCCCTCCCTCGGGATTTAGTCTCTGCTATAGTCGGCTCAAATATCGTCGAGGACTCATATCTCGGGCGAAATAAGCCGATGCAAGAAGTTTTCTGCGACTTTTTGCTCGAATCGTCCCTCCAACTGCCCGAGCATGGCTGCTATAGTCAAATGTTGGTCCGCGTTACGAATAGTTCTTCACAAGGCCTGTACACTGGCCATGCAGGGTTAGTACCGTCCACCATGACGTGGTACACCGTGCGGACCATGTGTTGAAAGAAGCATAACTACCGAGCTTGAGGGATTACTGAATCGGGGAGGAACCCTGGCGCCAAGCCTAGAGGAAACTTGAAAAACATCGTGTAGAAAGCCGTGCTACCGAAAAGGAAGGTGTTCGTACGCAATACGTGAGCTGTTCAATAGCCGGAACGCAGTCTTCATTGGATGGAATGTATTCTTCCTTCGTGGCTGCCAAATACTTTTTATGCAGGGCATTATTCTCCCCCTACCCCACCACTGTGCAACGCCTCCAGGGCTTCTCGTAAGATGCTCACCCAAGTATCACATACTACTCTACACCTCTACGCCGACCACTATGCAAAGACCCCACGACATCGTGAGAGCTTAAAATCCATCATCGATTCCCCTACTCTTCTCCTCCTTCCTCCTCTCATTATTAACATCCCACCACCACTGATGCGTCTCCCACGTTGACTTGCCATCGTCCTCCTCCCACGGCTTCGGACTAAGAATATAATGTATATTCTTAACATTCTCGTCCCTCCAGATCACATCATGCACGCCCTTATTCCTCAGCGTCTTGAGCGCATTGTACGTATATGGCAGCGTGACCCAGCGGCCGTTGAACAAATCGCCCAGCAGCGATTGGTCAGCGAAGTCGTAGTCGCCGGATGCCTCGTTAGAGAGCTGCTCGAGGATCAGGTTGTATGTTGCGAGCGAGGGATTTACGACTTGGAGGCCGCCGTTGGGCATGCGGAGGCCGGCGGTTGAGGGGGCGCCGGTGTGTTGGGCGGTGGTAGGGTCGGCGTGTTGGGTTGTGAAGGCGCAGTTCTCTGGTATCCTAGAGGTGTGTTAGTCTACATATCGTATGCATGTATAAGGGAAGAGACATACCAGTCCTTGGGGTAATGCGGCTTCTTGAGCGGATTGCACACGCATGCGTGGCTCGCTGCAAACACTCTATCGCCCTTGCCGCCTGTACTCGGTGCGTCCAGCTCCAAGTCCATGAGCTCGTCCATGTTTTGCAGGACCAACATATCGCTGTCTAGCTGTACCACCCTGTCGTACTCCTCCAGCGAGAAGGGCGTAAGCTTGCTCCAGCAGTCGTAGAAGCGCGGGTCTGCGGTGAAGTCCTTGGACTTGATTGGCAGCAGGTACTTGACATGTTGCTTCGGTATGCCGCGCTCATCGAGCGCCGTGTGGCCTTCTTCGGGGAAGGTATCCGTGTACAAAGCGATGAGCGGGTACTTTGTGCCGTGCTTCTTGAGTGAGTAATCGAGGGTAAGGAGGCCGGTGAGGTATGCCGTGTTGGTGATGAGAGTCGTCCATACTGCGCCGATGTCAGTACAGCTCTTCCAAACGCGCCCCGCCAAACATCCAACATACCTTTCTTCGACTCTACACCCGCAGCGGGCGCCGTCGTCGCACTCGTAGTCGCCGACATAGTTACCTAGAACACGTGTATCGAATGCGCGCGCGCCAGCAAAGTTATCAGAAGGTATACAGAGTAGTTAGTGAAAGCAACGTTAGTAGTTGATTTGCAACAGAAAGATCAAACCGCGCCATCCTCGGTCGCACACGATCGCAAGTGCATATGGAGGGGCAGCCGCTAAGGTCTATGAAGGAACCATCGTACCAATCTGGCAAGCCAATCTCAAGGGTCCAGCCCTGGCTTGGAAGGCACTAAAACGCGACTTTCGGGGGTCCGAACACACCGATCTCTCGGCCCTGTCGACATCGTCACCACATCGCGGGCGCTTGTACGTTTCCGATATGCGGAACCTGCAAGTTGCCTACTGTACTGACCGCTGCTGACAGTTCCACCGAGAATAATGGGTTGAGTTGTTCGACGGCCCTGCTTCTCCCTACCTTCGTTTCTTCGTGATCTTTTGACGTGTTGCATGCCTTTTGTGCTTTTTCTTGGACGGGAGGCATGATTCCGATATTGTACCGGAGAACAGCGACGCGACAATGGCTACCTCAGCCCTGAACCTGAAAACTAGCGACTCAAAGCCGGCGGCCACCGCGCTGATAGCTACCTCTGATGAGCCGAAGAAGTCTCCCAAGCACTACCGCGGCTTTGTCGCTGGGGTGTTCAGCGGCATTGCGAAGTTATCTGGTAAATAATCAGTCCCCCAGCACATACATTGAACATAGCTAACAAAGATAGTCGGTCACCCCTTCGACACGGTGAAAGTCCGCCTCCAGACGACCGAGAAAAGCCATTTCCGCGGTCCGGTAGATTGTCTGATGCAGACACTCCGCAAAGAAGGCTTCGCGGGGTTGTACAAGGGCGCTACACCACCGCTTGTAGGATGGATGTTTATGGACTCCATGTACGCAGACACATAGTCCCAAGCACCCCCTCATATTCCGTATACTAACACCACAAAGTATGCTAGGCTCCCTAAGCGTCTACCGCCGCGTTCTCAACGACCGCGTCTTCAACCCCCCCTCACATCTCCAATTCGGCGAACAACAGCGTAAACTGCCCGTATACGGCCACGCGTTAGCAGGCACAATGGCAGGATGGACAGTTTCCTTCATCGCCGCGCCCGTCGAACACATCAAGGCACGTCTGCAAGTCCAGTACGCCGCGGATAAGAAGTCGCGTCTATATTCCGGACCAATCGACTGCCTCAAGAAGATATACACTGGTCATGGAATGAGGGGTGTGTACCATGGTCTCAGCGCTACACTGCTCTTCCGCACATTCTTCTGCTTCTGGTGGGGGACCTACGACCTTTTTACGCGGCAGTTGCAACAGCGGACTTCACTGTCTGCTCCGGCTGTCAATTTCTGGGCGGGAGGTCTGTCGGCGCAGGTCTTTTGGTTGACGAGCTACCCGAGTGATGTGATTAAGCAGCGTATCATGACGGATCCGCTGGCACAAAGAAGGTTTCCGAGGTGGAGAGATGCTGCGAAAGCGGTGTATAGGGAGCAAGGCTGGAAAGGGTACTGGCGGGGTTTCGTGCCGTGCTTCCTGAGAGCGTTCCCGGCGAATGCGATGGCATTGGTAGCATTTGAAGGTGTCATGAGGAGTTTGCCGGAGTAAGGCGACACTTCACTCCCCTTGTTGTTCTAGACTTAGCGACTCATAGCATTGTGATACCACTCATAGATGATAGACGTATTATCTACTTAAATACAAATAGCAAGAAGACGTTTCTCTTGTCGTCAGATCATCATGCTGGTTTCGTAGCCTCTTGGCACATAAATCATACCTCATAACTTGCCCTTGCCGTCCTCAAGCTCGCAGAACGCCTTGAATGTTACCAGACCCTCTGCGCCCTCCTCGTCCTCGGCATCGATATCGCTCTTGATGACGACCTCAGCTGTGGCACCAACAAAGTAGACGTAGCCCTCCTTGATCTCCTCCTCCTTTGGTCCCGCGCTAATCGTTCCCTTGCCCTTTGTGCAGAGGATGATGCTGGGCCCATCAATCGGATCAAACGTAGCCTTTCCTCCAACACGGTTGAGGGCAGTCCGTACTACGGCGAACTCGGGAATCGGTGGGTTGTACAGCTTGTTGCTGCTGTTGGAGCTATACGCCGGTGCGTTCAACCTGACCTGCGAGTAGTCCCTAGGCTCCATCTTTTGCTCGCTGATCGGCGCATAGCTGTATGTCAACATCTTTGTCAGGTTGTCCACGTCCTTGAACTTGGGTGTGAAGCCTGCGCGGACAACGTTGTCAGAGCTCGCCATGCACTCGATGATGTCGCCGGAGAGGTAGGCGTGAATGTCATCAGCCTTGAGGAACATGGCCTCGCCGATGTCGAGCTTAACGTAGTTGAGGAAGAACTGGACGAAGAGGCCAATGTCACCGGGGAATTGGGAGTTTAGGCGTACGACAAGGTCTGCGAGCTCTTTGCCGTCGTTGGAGGGTGGGCCGCCGTCCGCGAACTTGTCCCCCTCAGACTCCGCTGCCTTGACAAGCTCTTCACTGGCAGATGATAGTGCGTCCTTGTCCGTGTTCATGAGCTTTGTAAAGGCAGATTGCAGAGCTTTTTTGTTCTCCTGCATATCCTCTTCCTTGTCCGATGTCTCTTTGCCACTGATGGTGTCTTCAAACTTCTTTGCCTCTTCTTCGCCTACTAACTTTCGCAATGAAGGAACGGTCTTGAGGAAATGGGCGATTTCGGCGAGGGGTCGGAAGCCGCAGAGGCCGTCGAAGGGAGTGACCGCAATGGTCATTTCGGGCTTGTGGTTGTCATCTAGTGAGGTCAGTATTTCTGTGGAAATTTCCGTAATTATACTGACCTGGGTAGTTCTTGGGGTCGCTTGCATGCAACTGTTCGGCAAGCTTCTTGTTCGGGTGTGCCTGGATGCTCAGGGCCTTGTTGATGGAGAGGACCTTGAACAGGAAGGGAAGCTTGTTCTCATAGCGCTCGGCAATATCTGTTGATAACAGGGCTTGGTTTTCTTCGAAGAGGTCGAGCAGCGTTCGCTGAGTTTCCTTGTCTTTCGAGGGGAGCGACGGGTGTGTGCCCATCCATAGCTAACCGTGTCAACGACGCGTCAATCGCAGGCCGGAATTTCATACCTCGGCATATGGCTTCTCCTCTTCGATCGAGAAGTCTGAAGCATTTGCAGCGTGAAATTTGGCGGCTGCAGACTCTTTGCCGACTTTGCCTGGGTTGGTTCAGCATGCTGCTGGGGCGAAGGTGAGTGATGACGCGGGGCACGCACCCCAGTCGTAGCTGTTAACACCTGGATTTAGTTAGCCAATGCTGGCTCAAATCAATTTCACTATCTCGACCTACCGCATTCTAGTCTGATAAGAGGGTTCCGCATCTTGAATATGGTTTCGGTCGAGTGTGGAGGTTGCGTATGTATTGCGATGCCGCGAATTGGCGGAGGAGCTCTGGGCGGGGTCCACTTGTTTGGTCCCGCACAATCGTCACCCTGCCGTTGGTTTAGGCTCATCCCCTCTCCCATGACTAGCGTACCCTACCCTGCATCCCGCCGACTACATGCCCCGACGTTGATCATCTGCAGCTACTTCCCTTCCTCCACCTCAGTCTGTCGCTTCCACACCACCACATGAACTACCTGCAGCGCCTTAGGTAACACGAAAAGAGCTGGGGAGTTGACGGGCCACAACTTCCTCAACATGGCAGCCCGCAGCAGGCCCCGTGGTCAGTTGAAGGAGGAGTTCGACGAGGAAAGAGCCCTCTGGAACTCGATCAAAGCTGACGGACGTCGCGTTGATCAACTCATGGTACGAATATACTTTCTTCATTAACACCAGCATTACAGTCTGCATCTCCATATCTATCGCCAGCATTCCTCACCATGAGCGAAGTACCGCGTGATCTTCGCGATTCTGACGGCTACTTGGGCCATAACCGAAACAAATATGGAAGAAAACCATATTACTATGACCAAGAAGATACAGAGGAGCAGCGGCAACTCTGGGAACAGATCAAGACAGATGCCAGACGCGTCGACAAATGCATGGTATTACACAGACCGTGCCTTGTCGCATGCATTATCTAAATTATCTACACATGAATCCGCTCCCTTGCTGACATGCCGCAGAAAGAGTCGGATGCCTTGCAAGAGAAAATCACCGCCCTCGTCGCAGAACAGTCTGCTCGTCAGCGTTCGTTGCCCAACTGACTACTACATATTCGTCCCACTGTGCTAACCCGGCTAGACCGCGGCGAGGAAACCTCAGCCCGTATTGATGACGAGCTTGAAGACCTTCTGCGCGACAACATACGTAATCTAAACGAGGCACAGACCCTTCTCCAGCAGGTCGAAGGCGGCAATGATGTCTCCACCCAGATAGAACTCCTGGCTGCCCTCCGTCAGTCGGAAGAGGCCCCGACCTCAGCATCACGAGCCACCAGCGTTGGGCACGGAAAGTCTGGACGCGACCGCCAAGGCAAGCGAAAGCACAACGACAACATTGACGACCGCGACAGCATGGCTGCGGACAGTCCTGGAGGTCCCAGCCCAAAAGTCGTTATCAGCAGTCAGAAAGATCGACTGGTAGCCAAGTCGGGCAGTAGCAGAGCAGGATCGGTGCCTGTTGCGAGAGAGGGCAGTGTGAAGATGGACGAAGACGACTCGGGTAAGGGTAAGATGGTTCTTCCTTCTTCCAAAACCAAGCCCACAATCAAGTACAAGACCAAGCGTTGAGCTGTACCTTGCTATCGGCGTTCACCTTAGACGGCAGACGATACCCACTGGCATATTTCCTTTCGGCTTGTTCGAGGTTTGTAGTCGGATAGGCAAGCTCATAATCTCACCTCATCTGATCTCATACTTCTTTTCATGTGCTCATGCCACCATGTACCATCTCTTCTATCACAGCGCCCTTTTTACACATCGTCCCATGTCTCTTCAGACACCACGTCAGCTGACGACATTACTACAGAAATCCGACCACGTCTTTCGCCACAGACAGAGGTCCTCTACCGAAACAACGCGAAGAATCGCTCTTCGGCGTCCTCCATGTCGTTCGAGGGCGAGGGCATCTTATGCCGCGTGACATCCGTTATCGGCGAAGGAAAGCAACGTCGGTACGAGATCATCGATGCTGATCCAGACCCTCCAACACCATCAGTACCCTATCGCGCTTCCGTTAACCACCTAATACCCATCCCACCACCCTCATCAAACACCACATTACCAGACCTTAGCAAAGGCAAGAATGTTCTCGCTCTCTACCCAGGTACCACTACTTTCTACAAAGCGGAAGTGGTGGCTGTCTGGAAGCAGAGTGATGGTAAGGTCAAGAAAGAAGATGGTGGCAAAGAAGGAGATGGTGTGGACAATCTCGTTAGGTTGAGGTTTGAAGGTGAAGATGAGGCAGATCGCGAGATGAGTGTAGAAAGGAGGTATGTGCTGCCTGATAGATGAGTGAGTAGCACTTCGGCTCCCCAGGGAGGGATGGACTTCCGGTCATAGCAGGCTCGCATCGAGTCTTATTGTGGAGTGTTGGATACCATTGGGGGAGGTTGTTCTTTGGCATGGGTTGGCTGCGGATACCTCTTGTGGTATATTTTTGCTTTTTACCCTCGCATACTCTAGTTACGCTTTCTTTACTTAGTACTATCGATACCTTATCACTAAAAAGTCATACCCATCTGCAATGGTTCGCTGTCTAGTCAAGCCGTAGAGTGTGGCCAAGCCGCTAGCACCAAAGCAAGCAAGCGCCATCTGGACACGTCCCAGAGCGCATCGCCAACAAGCCTCAAGACTCCGCAACGCGAACCAACCTGACCCCGCACAAGACGCAGAAAAGCATTCTATAGCCCGATCCAGTGTCGCGTCACTGAGAAGATCTTGGTAGGCGCCTACGATCCCACCATCAGACTTCCAATCCAATCACAAGCCCGACTACCGAAGCCATCAAGCCCGCGCCGCACGCCAACTCCACCAATATCCGCAGCTACCTAATCTCCACCACCCACCCACACTATTGTCGCCATGAACAACTTCTCCTTCCTCGAGTCCTCCCAACAACAACAAGCCCAGCAACAGCACAATCAAAACCGCCCTCCGCCCTCTCCCTCACATTCACAAGCTGGCAGTATTGCAGGATCGCAAGTTAACGGCGGCGGCCAAAACGGCGTTCCAATGGTTAATGGCCTACCCAGCGGCGGCCAGCAGACGGACATGAACCATCTGTGGGCGGTGGTGCAGCAGCTGAGTCAATTGCTAGAAGAGAACAAGGCGCAAACGAGGGGTATCGTGGAGGGTGTCGCTGCGATACAAGGGAGGGCTGCACAAGAAGAGGGAGGTGAGGTCGGTGGGCTCAATCCGAGAAGTGCAAGTGGAATGGGCATGAGGGAGGTTAATGGAGAGATCAATGGTATGTTAAGTCTGCATTGAGAGGGTTTGGACGGCGATGTCCGTCTGGACTCGGATGAACACATACTAACCCACATTACAGCAGCGACAGTAGCACATCTACAATCACAGCTCTCGAGCGCGCAAACAACCATCGCATCCCTGACTTCAACCAATACATCTCTCTCCGCCCTCCTCACCGACTACGAATCCGCTTTGACCCTCCTCCTCGATAAACTTCGTCCGTACGCTTATTCGCAAACCTCGGCCATGCTCGCTCTGCACAAACACTACCAAGGGCTTCTTGATCAGGAACGCTCAACATCTATGGCGCTGCGGCTTGAACACGCAGACTGGCAGGCTGGGCTGAGTCGCGTCGCGGAGAACGCAAGGAGCGCATTAAGATGCCAGAGCGAAGTCGAACAAGGATTGAGGGGCAGATGTAAAGAGTTAGGAGAAGAGAATCGCGTGTTGAGACGGATGGTGGGATGGGAAGAGAGGGAAAGTAGTGATGATGAGGGCGAGGACAAGGCATAGTTGAGCTCCTGTGAGATATCATAGGAGGTCCATCTTTCACGCATTTTTGTTATGCATAGCGTTGGCGTTTGGGGATATCACAAGTCGGTCACACTTCAGAAGGGGCATACCCACGGCTGGCGTATTATTTCACCAATTGGACGACACAGGAAGACAGGAACGTCAAACATACTCAGTTGCAAGCTCCCACTTCACTTTCAAGCAAAGAAAACTCTGGATACATTTCCACACGAAAGTAATGACGTTCATCAATTCTTCCATTTGAACCCGCCCCGATATCTTACACAGGAAATTTAACTAAACAGGACGCAGCACCCGACCCCTGGAGCCACCAACATCTCCACCATGCTCTCCATAACGATAGAAAATCGTAATCCACCCCACGACATGATACGCATCCGCATCCCTCACAACCCCCATATCATCCCCTTCAAAACCATGCACATCATAAGTACCATCGCCTTGATACACAACCGAAGCTACGTTGTGCATCTCGCAAAGGATGGTGTGGCCCTCTGACCTGAGCCAGGAGCGCGTGTCGGCCACGTCTTGTTGCGAGACTGTGGGATGTGGGTGAGGGAGGTCGGCTAGTGAGGCGGCTGAGGGGAGAGGAAAGAGAGAGTCTGTTGATGCAGATGGAGAGGGTGAAGATGGTGAAGATGGGGATGGAGATTGGGAGCGCGAATGACGGCGCTGTACTTCTTCATAGGGTAGTATTTCAGCGCTCCTGAAATCGTGTAATTCGTGCAAGGCTCCTACGACAATCTCTGCGTTTAGTTCTTCCCGGAAACGTTGATGGATAGCGTCGTTGCGTGCTATGATAGCTTGCTGGACTGTACCGCTGTTCATTGGACTTGGTTCAGGATCGGAAAGTACGAAGCTTTCAGGATGGGTAAGTTCGGAGGGTGATTCTGTGGTTGCGTCCTCGAGGATTTCGCCTTCCTCTGAACCTTCTCCGTGCTCGTGGGTATGAGCAGATGCCCACCTCTCGTAGTCCTCTGAATCTTCGTCAGCCTGACGGTCGTCGTCGTGTTGCTCTTGCTGGTGATCCTCATTGTCCTCTGCATTCTCCGCGGCCCTCGTTTCGAATTCTTGCATATTCTGGGGGACCCAGACCTCGCCAATGAAGTTGGAACCCCTAATCATCCAGTTCACACAGTTCACTAGCCCACTGCGTCTCGTCTCAAGCTCTTGGCTTGCCCAAAAGTCAGCAAGACCGTCCTCGCTGAGCCTGTTCCGGATATGATTCGCTAAGATAAGCTCAAGCCAGTTGTCCCCGATCTCTTCATGCCAGTCGCATATGAACTCGTACGCTTGGTGATGATGTTCACGATGCCATCCCCTCCTCACTTCGCATAGAATGTACACTAAATCCGGGTGATCATTCCGGATTTCTCCATCGTACATCGAGTCAGCGTAAGCCATAAGCCAGTAGTAAGCCTCGCGGTTGTATA